TTCCAGCTCTTGCGATTACCCCTGGCTAACAGATTAGAAGGCTGAGCCAGGACCAGGATGGTTAGTTGACCTAACTCACCCAGCTGGCAACTTGTCCAGGGTCCTCCACTGCTTTTTTCTTTTTTTCTTTATTTGTGAGTGACGGGTGGGCAAATACTCTACCACTGAGCTACTCAGCCCAGAGTCTACTGTCTTAACTACAATGTGATAACATGACCTACATTCCTGTGTGTGGACACACACACAGACACACACACACACACACAGACACACACACACACACACACACACACACACACACACACACACGGCCCTTACGAGTTCTGCCAGCCATCTTATCAGGACCCTCCCCCAGCACAGCACACAGGCCACATCTGTCCCACTGTTCCCGGCCGGTCGGTCCTACAGTGTGCAGAAGGCGGGTCACATGCAGATAGGGCCCTTTAAAGGCCCACCACCCCAGTTGGCTCTTGCCTTCTGCCATCTGACCTGCCAGCTGCCACCCACACCAGCTGTACCAGACACCATGGAGAAGGTCCTTGTGCTTCTGCTTGTGGCCCTGGTTGCGGTAGCCTATGCAGCTCCCGGACCCCGGGGACTTCTCATTAACCTGGTAAGGAGTCTCTGGGGAGCTCTCAGAGTCTTGCTGTGGGGATTTTGTAAGCATGGCTCCTGACCTCTGGTGCCACCAGCCAGGGTATCTGTCCCTGAGTTCCAGGCTGTATTAGGAGCCTTTCCCCAGGCCATCCCAGGAGAGGTGAAGGGACTGCTCTCAACTCCACCTGACTGGGAGGATGCTCTCTCCAAAGCCAGAGCCCTAAGTCAGGAACCCTGGCTGGGAAGGTCCTCTGACTTCAAAGTTGACAGCTTTCTAAGAAAGCTCATGACAATGATCCTAGTCTCTGCCCTCCAATGACACCTTTCTGTGTGCCAGACACGGTCTAAGTGCCAGAGGAATGTCAGCACAGTTAGCCCTCACCGTGAGGTAGAGAGCCAAGTGAGCACTTCCCCAGGGCTTCATAGGGCGCTCATGATGCCTTCCCACCACACCTCAGTGGGGCAAGCACTGTGTGGCCAGCAGCCCCAGGGGAAGGCTGGGAGGTGGGCTGGTCCAGGAACCTATGTAGATGTCTGTCAGACAAGGGTAACGTCTTTAGTTTATTTGAGACAGGATCTCACTATGTAGCAATGGTTTTCCTGGAACTCGCTCTGTAGACCAGGCTAGCCTTGAACTCACAGAGAGCCACCTACCTCTGCCTCTCCTGTGCTGGGATTAAAAGCTAGTGCCTGCATGCCCAATAAATGTGGAGTATAGAGATGACTTCCGCATTCACAGGCCCCTCAAAGCAGTGGGGGAAGCCAGACGTGGTGATGCTTGCCTGTAATCCCACCACCGGGGTGGCTGAGGCAGAGGGTCACAGGTTGAGGCTAGCCTGGGCTACATAATTCTAGAAATGCCTGGGCCGTGAGATCCTGTCTCAAAAAGAAAGGAAGGAAGGAAGGAAATGTGGGAGACCCTTCTTTGGGAGCACCAAGGCACCAAGGGGGGCAGCCAGTAACAGTAGGACCTATAGACCTGGACTCCTAGCCCAGGACAGCTTCTCTGCCACCTTCTACGTCCCGACAGGAGCAGAGCACAGTGTCCCCCAGACCCCGGGGTAGCCCTTCACACGTGCCTCACCAAGGGAGGTGCAGATGAGAGTTGTGGTAGGGTGGGGTGAGCTCTAGAGGGGGGGCCTGGGGGAAGGATTCGGGCCAACAAGTTGTCCCTGCAGGACGACGGTGAGATCTGCTTGAACAGCATGCAGTGTAACAGCAAGTGCTGCCAGCACGACACCATCCTGGGCATCGCCCGTTGCACACACAAGGCCATGGAGAACAGCGAGTGCTCGCCGAAGGTGTGTGCCCAGGGGGTGTGGGGACACCGAATGTTGAGGAGGGAGGAGGGAGGTTTACAGGGTTAAAGGCTTAGCCCACCCCATCATCCCCCTTGACCACCACAACTGGCCCCGGGTTGTTGGTGGTGGTGTGTGTGTGTGTGTGTGTGTGTGTGTGTGTGTGTGTGTGTGCTCCCATTCCACAGGTGGGTAAATAGAGGCTCATCTGAGCTATCAAGTTAGTAAGAGCGTTGGTGGGGGCCTGATCCCAGCCCCCACTGCTCAGGCAAGTCAGGAACACACTGTGAAGTGCCAGGCAGCCAGTTCACAGCCGGGTAGGGAACAAAAGATAACCAAGATGTTCCATCTGTGACTCCATGCCCCCCTCCCCATCTCTGCAGACCGTGTACGGGGTTTACTACAGGTGTCCCTGTGAGCGGGGCCTGAGCTGTGAGGGGGACAAGACCATCCTCGGCGCCATCACCAACACCAACTACGGCATCTGCCTTGATGTTGGGCGCTCCAAAGAGTGAGCCCATGCAGTAAGGCCACCTCTCCCCTCCTCCTCCTCCATCTGTCCCACCTGAGCCAGCTGTTGGCAATTAAAGCGCACCTGCAACCTTGCCCACCTCTGCCTGTCCTTGCCGTGCACTCAGAAGTTGCCTGAAGCCTTTGTCTACCAGGACCGGGGCCCCCAGGGCAGAAGGGTGTGTGGAGCTCCGGTCAGGGACGGCCTGGTGAATAGGCAGGGCTACACCCAGTCCTTCGAAGCAAGCCCGCTCAGGCCTCCCTCCTCTCCTGAGCCTCTGGAGGCAGGCAGGCAGGTGTAGACAGCACAGGCCCCCAGCGGGGAGTCCCTGGGGCCATGTCAGATCACGACAGTCCCCTGTTGTGGCTCTCCCTCCTTTCAGTGGTGACGGCTAGCTGCCACCTCTCATGTGCTGATGGGTCAGGCCACTAACAACTGCAGTGGGCTTAGAACTCCCCTCGGTGACCCTGGGAGGAAGAACTTACCGTCTCTGTAAAGACACTGAATTCAGAGAGCTGAAGGAGCGTGCCGGGCATCAAACAAGCCCGCCCCCACCTTGTAGGATTCCCGGTCCTTTCTCAACATCCACACTAAGAGAAATGAGTGGGAAGCATAAGGAATTAAGTTATTCCTTAATGTAGATTTCTGTTCTCTCAGGAGCCATCAAATATTAGGACCAGTGAGGTAACCCAGTGGGTGAAGACACTTGCCCCCAAGCCAACTTGGGGTTGTTCCCAGGGACGCACATGGTAGAAGGCAGAGAACTACAGGCTGTCCTCTGACTTCCACTCATGTGACACTGTGCATGAGGGGACACACACACACACACACACACACACACACACACACACACACACACAGATAAATGAATAAATAAATGTAATTTTAAAACCCATGAGTTACTTAGCACACAGTAAGGCCCAGGGAGAGGCTACTGACCCTGGGTTGGGATGCTGGGGGGGTGGGGGAGCGTGGAATTCACACACACCGTGGGGGGTCAAAACTCAGGCGCCTCCCCCAGTCCCACAAAGCCTCTAGAACCCATGACTTCTGCCTTCAGACCACATTCAGCTGCAAAGCCCCAAGTCATATGGCTTCACGAAATGGGGCGTCTACACCTCACCACCCCACAAGTGGAGAGACAGGAAGGCCTGGCACGTGTCTGCTGGGTTAGCAGTCGCTCCTGGCATCACACCCTTTCACCATATTCTGAAGCAGGGCAGTAGGGGGATGGGGAGAGACGTCTCTCCTTGCTACCTTCCCATTGTCTTTGCTAAGACCCTCTAGGTCAACAATTCTCAACCTGTAGGTTGTGGCACCTTTGGGGGCCGAACAACCATTTCACAGGGTTGAATAGAAGATACCTTGCATATCAGATATTTACATTACGACTCATAACAGTAGTAAAAGTACAGTTATGGAGTAGCAGTGAAAATAATTTTATGGTTGGGGGTCACCACAGCATGAGGAATTGTACTAAAAGGTGACAGCATTAGGGAGGTTGAGACCCACTGCTCTAGGCAGATTCTTCTTCATATCGCAATGACCACAATTGGGTCAGACCAACTCTAGCTGCAAGGGAGGCTAGATGACTGTGACTGACAGTTTGTGATCCCTCTCCCAGAGCTGGGCTTTCTGATGCTCAAGTAACCCTGGGGTTCCCCTATCAGGAAAGGAAGGCAAAGCCCCCACACGAAGAGCTTTCAGGGCCTCTTCTGTGAAGGCAGGTCAAGGGCAGGGGCAGGTGCCACACTTAGCCTCGAAAGGGAGCCACAGTCGTGCTTTTACATGTATCTAGACTGACCACTGTGCCCGAAGTGTTTTGGGCTCTTTAGGATGTGAGCAAAATACCCTTGGTGTCCAGAAGTGCACAGGGAGCCGGGCTTCGTGGAATCAGAGGGGTGACTGGTCACTGTGGCTGTTAAGCAATTCTTTCTCCAACCAAGGCTGGAGGCCAGCAGTCACCTGTTCTGAAATCCACACAAACGGCTGGGCTGGCAAGAGGGCTCAGCAGGTGCTTGCTGTGAAGCCTGAGGACCTGAGTTTGATCCCCAGGACCCACATGCGGAAGGAGAGAAGTCCTTCAAGTTGCCCTCTGACCCCCACACTTATGTATGGCCCTTCTTCCACCACATTATAAATGAGTGCTCACATGGTATGACACGCTTTTAATCCCAGCACTTGGGAGGCAGAGGCAGGAGGCTCTCTCTGAGTTCAAGGCCAGCCTAATCTACATAGTGAGTTCCAGGCCAGCCAGAGCTACACAGTGAGACCCTATCTCAAAAATAAAATAAACAAAATGGTTTTATTTAAAGGTACTTCATGAGATATGCCCCTGTCACTCTGTCCAACCTAACATTCTGGTCCCAGGAGTAGCCTGTTCTGTGGTAGAAACTTACTACAGAACACAGGATGTCTGCAGCCATGTACCCATAAAAAGAAAATCCCTGGGTTGGGCCCTGTGGACCCACACTGTCTGGTATGGAGCCAAGCGCTGGCCGCATGGGACCTCTGAGAACTGAACAGAAAGGGATAAAATACAAAGTAAATATTGAAGATGTATTACTAAAAAGAATGTAGGGCTGGTGAGATGGCTCAGTGGGTAAAGGGGCGTGTTGCCAAGAGAGATGACTTGAGTTCAAACCCTGGGCCCCCATGTTGGAAGGCAGGAACTGACTCCTGGAAGTTGTTCTCCGAGACACACACACACACACACACACACACACACACACACACACACACACACACAGGCTGCCTCCTGGGGTCACACTTATGGTTGACTCTCCTATATTCTGAATTAAAATCTGTCATCTTTCTTATTCCTTTGTTTTTGTTTGTATGCAGTGTTGACGATCACCAGGGTCTTGTCACTTTGCAGTTCAGGCTGCCCCCAAACTCCAGATCCTCCTGCCTCAGCTCCTGAGGGCTGGGATTATAGGATATGCCACCATACCTGACTCCATCAGAGTTCGGATCAGCATGTCCCCAATGACCAATGACATCGGGTAATTTTTTTTTTTAAAGATTTATTTATTTATTATGTATACAGCATGTATGTCTGCAGGCCAGAAGAGGGCACCAGATCTCATTACGGATGGTTGTGAGCCACCATGTGGTTGCTGGGAATTGAACTCAGGACCTCTGGAAGAGCAGTCAGTGCTCTTAACCTCTGAGCCATCTCTCCAGCCCGACATCGGGTAATTTTTATATGACATCTTTGGAGAAATGTAATTTTGGTCTGTAAGGTACCATATGCTGGTAAATTGTCACATGCTGTGTGTGTCACTGAGAAGCTCAGAAGTGACATCTCCCCTCCATATACTCTTCAGACCCAAGCATGTTTGTGTGAAGTACCCTCCAAGACCCCCGTCCTGGGTCAGGCTGGCCCACTGGCTCTGTGACAGGAAGACAGAAAAATAGCAAGTGACCTAAGGTATTAAAAACATTTTGCCTGGGGCTGGAGACATGGCTCAGTGGTTAAGTCTGATTGCTGCTCTTCCAGAAGACCTGGGTTCAGGTCTCAGGACACACATGATGGTCATAACCATTTGTAATTTCAGCTCTAGGGGATCCTAACATAATTCCATTGATATCTGCTGTGTGCCAGGCTCTGAGAATACAGCAGGAAGAAAAGCCACAGTGCCATAGCATACCACTTCCCGAAGCTGGCATCCCGAAGATCAGACAGTGGGGCTTTCTACAGCCAAGGTGGTCCCTCCTCCCACTCCTTACCTCCTCCCCACCTCCTTAAAAGTTAAGGCATTCCTAAAATATATAGGCTGATTTATTTCAACAGTCCCTCTTTCAATTCCAGGTCTCTTCGCAGCTGTTCTTTGCTTTTCAACAACCAAATTCAAAATCAACACAATAACAAACATGATCCAGACTCCCTGTGTATTTCCCTTCTTAAGTGGCTTTTTGCTTTTATATTACTTTTACTCTCTCTTTAAAGACTTTATTATTATTATTATTATTTTGACTTTTTGAGACAGGGTTTCTCTGTGTAGTTTTGGTGCCTATATTGGAACTCACTCTATAGACCAGGCTGGCCTCGAACTCACAGAGATCTGCCTGCCTCTGCCTCCCTAGTGCTGGGATTAAAGACGTGTGCCATATTCTTTTCTTTCTAGGATCATACCCTTTTCCTTTTTCTTAAGCCTATGCACATTGTTAAGCACATTGTAACCTGTTTAGGGGCTTTCTCAGCTGACTCTACACTCTTCTCCAGCCGTGGAAACCAAGCATTAAACTCTCAGCCAGTCAGAGGTTTGTCTGACCAGAAACTGCATTTAACCTTCCTAGAGCTCTAGAATGCCGATGCTTGATCGGCCGCAGACATTTTTACTTAGTTGTTTGTTTCTATTTAATGGAGTGGCTGCTCAAGGGCTTGCCAGCGGGCAGAAACTTCAAAGAAGCCGTATCCTCTTTTTTTTTTTTTTTCTTTAAACTTTATCAGGCACTATGGAAATTCGAGTCCCATGTTGGAGGACCCCAGCTATGGAGGATCCCAGCTAAGGGGGACCCCAGCTATGGAGGACCTCAGCTATAGTGGACCCCAGCTGAGGAGGACCCCAGCTATGAAGGACCATCCTCTGGTTTCCTCTGCTCACCGATAACACACCTCTCTGATCTTTATCTTTTCTTGCCTTTTGAATCTGTCTCCCCATAGATTCCAGCTCCAAGAGGGCAGCGGTCTTTAGCTCTTCTGTTCACTTGCTTCCTCTTACTTTCCTGGCCCCAGCTCCCCCTCCACTGTGGCTTCCTTCTCTGCCTGTGCCTTGACTTTGCAGCCAACATTCCCTCCACCTGGAACCCGGGTCCCCAGGTTCACTGCTGGCCTTGATCAACTTCGACTGTGGATTATACTGGCACTCTGCTGGTGAGGTCTACTGTCTCATCCCCAGTTCTGGACACCAAGAAAAGTAATTTGTATCTAGTATGTGCTCAATAAAGTGTGTGGAGCCTCATGAGCTCAGGGCAGGATATTTTATGGTGATATTTTATTTGTATTAAAATGTTATTTGTATGTTAATAAATAAAGTTGCCCGGAGGTCAGAGCTATTAGCAAGCCATAGGAAAGCAGGGCAGTGGTGG